TCACCATTAGATATCTTCAATTATGAAATCCCCTCCATCAATGTCAATCTGGACAGCCTCATCGATGAGTTCAGCGGTGCCCCTTGCAGGAGGTCGGTGGCAGTGACAGACTCTCCAGAGGGGGATGCTGTGCCTGAGGAGGAGCCCCAGAGCACCACTCTATGACCTATGACCCTAAGGCATCACAGCTTACCAGCACCCCTATGGCTGTACATACTCTTAACTGTCGCCACCAAGGCCTGATGGAAACACACATTGGCCTCACCAATGCCCACCTGAAACCAGAACTCGAACACATCTGCTACAGGCTGCAAAGAAACTCATCTCTTACAATTGCTCGCTAGTACATAAATGTGACTACAAAAAAACACCAAAATGCCATAGTGGAGGAACAGTTGCCTTTAGGAGGAAAGACTGGAATATAGATAAGTATTACATTGAAAGTTTTTTTGTTTGTTTTGCTTTGTTCATCTTTGTTGTTGATGCAGTGGTCTGTATTTCTGTGAGTTTCTCAATTTCTTTTTGCCTTATTGTAACATGCAATCAAATTGCAATATGATATTCACAAGTTGTACAACTTTTGGTTAGGGAAACTCCTTGCAAGCCTGACATGGTTAGGAGCAAAGCCCATCCTCAGGGTGAATCAGAGAGGCGGGGTAAGAAAGAAGTCTGGTTATATTGCTCACAGGGTATTCAATCTTTGTGCACATTGGGGAAATGCTGAGCCTTTGAGAGTTTTGCATGCAGGATGAAACATTTTGTGGTTTAATTCTTATTGTCACACCCAGTCTTTACTTCCCCTCTTCTATCACATATTACAACTTTAGTTCTTTGTCTGACATTTACCTTGATACAGGTAAACTCACTTTAACTCACTTTATACCAGCACAGTATGAGAAGAATGTTACTGTAAATTCAATTTTTTGAACTTGCATCTCTTAGTCATTTTTAAAGAAAGCACCGCAATGTGTTTGCATGACAAGCCAATATGAACAAACTGCTTTGGATCAAGGGCCTCAGAATGGCAGTGTTTAATTTTGTGCGAGTGTTTCTGTTGTTGTTCTTGTTGTCTTTGGACAAATTTAAATTTAGACCACCCATGTGCTGTCACATTTTGATGATAATGGATGGATGACTACACTGCCTTTAGGTTCTTATGATTCTCTCTCTTAACCTTGTTTCAAGTGCTTCAGGTTCAGTGACCTTTGACCCCTAGTGTAAATACAAAGACTGTACATAAATTGATGTATATAAATCTGAGAGGAAAAGTATATGTAAAATGCATATCTTGAATATATAATAATAATAATAATATATGTGCTTATTCTGATCATGTGTAGAAAATGTAATGATTAAATATGTGATATTATTTTTGTCCCTGCACACAATGAACAGGTTTACTGTAGATTCATAACATAACACCAGGTAACAACGATGCTGCAGCAGAAGCACAGAATGTTATTTCTGCTAGAAATGAATTGTGAACTTTCTAATTCTATCTCCTTAGCTTTGACTTCAAAAATGCTAGAGCGCTAATGACTTGCACACTAATGCCCTATATTTTCTTTTTATCAGTTATTTAATTGGTTCCTGTGCAAATAAAAAACTTTGAGCACACTTGGACTATTTAATCAATTCGTAATGCGGATAAATGTAGTCCTAAGCCTATATTGTTGGACCTATATAGCAAAGTAAATATATGTGCTCATTCAAATAGAAATGCCGATGTGTAGGCAAATCTGACGCATCTGCTGTATCACTTCCAAAGTTGAAATTTGTTGCATCCTTTGTTGTTATTCTCATCGCAGACACTTAATTACAAATAATTTCAAATTCATCAGATAGCAGATGCTGCAGTGTCACTTTTTTAATTCCATACAAAATGTCTTAGGACAATAATTCTTTCAATAAAAGTGCAATTACAGTGTTTACTGATCCTCCTCAGCCCAAAAAGTGGTCAAAGTCATCCTTCCCAAACCTATAGAAAAAAGCCATTAATTATATTACAAAGCAATTGATTTTTTTTAAGTTAGTTTTATGTGTGAGTTTACTTCTGACAAAAATGAATTCTAGATTAACCTCTCTCCAAAAGTGATCTGTATGCCTCAGTGTGTGTTCTCAATGGACTATGTTTATGAAGATTTTGGTGATGTTGATAATTATATTGATAGTTGTGGTGATTATACTGTATGACAACAATTGCAAGTGCCCTCACGCTGGTTTTTATTTTGGAACTATAGGCATAATTAATGTGTACTAGAGGTTTTATTTTCTGTGCTGGATCCATACATTTATACGAGGAGGCAGGGGCATCTCTCTCTGTGTGCAGACTGAATGTGACTCACTCAGATTTCAAACGGTAGGCTAACAGGCAAACGAGAGCTTGTATTTGGATGAAGGTTAATTAGGGCCTGTTGGCATGTATTATTATCAGTGCAAGGTGGTATTATTGCAATGCTTTTGTGCATCGTAACTGGAACTTACAGCCACCTGAAAGCATGCATTCATATTCATTATAAGTGTGATTATTATGCTGCTGAAAAGAAAAAAAACATCTGTACCCTCCCCCAAAACACGTCATTATTTTTAATACATATCTAATTTCAGTCATTAAATTAACTTTACAGCTATTTTCAAGAGCATATTCACAGTAACCACCTTTTGCACCAAATGGTACACTGCTACATAGTTTTGTCAAGCTTTTCAACTACTGTACTACTACTGTAGACCTACATTTCCTAACTCACCTCACCACCAAGTATGTTGGTCTAAAGTAAAGCTCAATTTGTCAATTTGTTTACATTTTGTGTGGGGGGTATTTTAAATGAGAAAAAAAGGAAAATCTGAAGAAGTGTCATGCATGCGCTTAGATAGTCTTTTGATAATCCACGTTTTGTGTCAATCACTGTCATTTTAGGGATTGTAAGAGGGGTAAAATGTAAAGATGGACTCTAAAGATTGTGGATCACAATAAATGGTCCTTTTTGGGGTTTTGAGCAATACGATAGAGGAGTGGATGTTGCCTGTGGATGTACTGCCTCCTTCTGCTTTCACATTAGTGTACAAAGAAAAACCTGCTGCTTGTCGAGCCCACCATGCCCACCCTTTCCTCCTCTGCTTAGCATATCAAGTGGAACACAGTGTGTACTGTGAAGGCTACCTGCAATCCTTATCAGAATGTCAGAAATAAATATATATATTAAACTCTACATTTGTAATAATATCACCTCGTTCCTGTGGGATTTATTTCAGTGTTTGTTAGTTTGTTTTTTGGAAGAATATCTGTTGTGAAATTGGACAGTTGATGATCCCTGATGACAGAACCATTACTTTTCTTTGCCCATGAATTGTCACTGTTTAGGAATAATGACCAGCAGGCAGTGGTGGAAAGTGACAAGTACATTTACTCAAGTTAAATACAAACTTTATTTTAATATTTCCTTTATATTATATAATTTATACTTCTGCTCCATTAGATTTTAATGGGGAAAATGTGCTTATTACTCAACTACATTGTCTGACAGCTATAGTAGTAACTTTTCAGATTAAGATTCTACATCAAAAAGACGTTAGACATATAAAAACATTTTTTGAAAGATTAAACAAGTGGTTTACAGTGTGTGTGTGTGTGTGTGTGTGTGTGTGTGGGGGGGGGGGATGTCCATGTCCATGAGTTGTTAGCTGTTCCACCGAAAAGACATTCCCCCTTTAAACTTGTCATTTAAATAACTGTTCGAGACACAGAGAGGTAAAAGTATCTAATATTTCACAGAAAAAATGAAAACAGATCTTAATCAGAACTTTGTTTTGTCTTCTTTACTCTCCCTTTAATCAGCTCACAACCCCTCAGATTTATTGTGGCTTCACATCAGCCAGCTACAACAGTAGAATGCAGTTTATGTGTTGATGCATCAGTATTAACAATATCATATATTATAATATTCTGTATCAATCACAGGGAACAAAATAAGTACTTTAACTTTGATAAGGATCTGAGTACTTCTTCCACCACTGCTGAGGTTAATCCTGCCATTTAGGTTATAGTGTGAGCATACTGGTTGAGAAACCAATTTTCTCACTCTTGGTGCTGTCATAATTTTGACCTGAATACATTGCTAGTATTATCAGCTATTATCTATTTGCCTTGAAATTGTTGACTTTTGCACATTTACAACTTTACAATCAATTTGGTTACCCCCACTGAAATGCAGGCCACCAACAGGAATATGAATCAAAATGTCTGATTCATGCAAAGGAAATAAATCATTGTTATCCTCCTCTGAGTAAACCACATATGACTGAAAAGCAGAGGCCTCTTCATGTGTGTAACCTGTAGGACTGGCCCAGCAGGATGGCTGACGGCTTTCCAGTAAAGAAAACTAGGAGTGTTTGTCAGGATGGTGGTAATACTGACAAAACTCATTCTGAAAACTAGTTCTTCATTTGTTGGGAATCTCCACCCCAGGTTGCTGGTCTCTCTGCTCCATTTCAATCTGGACTCTTAAAGAGTCAGTGTGGTAATCTAATGCTACCATCCAGCAGTGTATCTCCTTACAGCAATCAGCCAAGCACATCTCATCCCATACCTGCTAGTCTATCTCCTTCAAGCTGCCACAAGTGCATCAATTATTTCTTACTGAAAGTTTTAGCAGTGGCTCTGTTTACACCATCTTTATACTCACTGGAAGGGAAGCCAGTCATGTTCTTTTATAGGATCTTACTGAGGGTTATTATACAACCACTTACTTCCTCCAACTATCTGACTATAAAAAAAAAAATCTCATTTGATCACTAAAGTAGGAAATGGAAAGTGTGAGACATTTTTTAAATGTCATTTATCCTTGTAATGTAAGGAGGAGAGAAGGTCTGTCTACATGATACCCCATGACTGTTTTAACAGGGTCCTTATTGTCACACTTTGTTCCATCACTAAACCAAGCTCATCTCTTGCTGCCAAAATGTAACCCCTGTCTTTTTTCTTTTAAGAAAATATCCAGACATGTGAAATAAGAGTTTATCATTTTTGTTCACAAAGTTGTTTGCTGCCGTTTGGAAACAGTTGAAATTATGATTTCAGAATGTCCAACCTACTTGGATTTATACATTTTGGATGTATGTTGAAATGGTTAAACACTGTTTCATAAACATGTAGAACATGTCATTGACAGGAATGCAAAACAGAAGGCTTTGCTGTCAAGGCTTTCCTAACCTTTACTTTACTTTAGGCTGTTGCTTGGTGATGCTCATAAAGGACACAGGCATGTGCCTATTAACTTCTTGACTTTTCTTTAAAATGAGGAAAGAAAATGACAATAAGCAACTATTAAAACCATGTTGCATGGCTTACCTTAAAACTAAAATGTACATTTTCAGTGGATTGATTATTCACTTAAATGCACCAGATTATTTTTTATCATCAAAACAAATAAACTGCTTTGCACACTTCATTGCATAGCTGTAGCTACTAAGGACGAAGCTGTTTTCTGCAAATGTCAGATCATCATTCCCTATTGGCACTGCATAATCCAGACGTCCAAATATCACTGGGCTATGCCAACAAAACCCAGGGTAAAGTTGCCGCCACTAGTGCCAGTAACGTAAACACTGAAAGCAAAACGAACAGGCATCGTGCAGTTGTGCAAATCCTGCGCCTTCGCCTGCCCTGGGGTCGAACAGCAGTCACCACAACGCTGAGCACGTCGTCTTCACACATGGGTCGCCCTTCAGCGCTTATGATAAAGATCTGAAATGCATTATGGCTGGGGATGATCAACCTCTGTCGACGGACTCGTTCTGACATCCACCTAAAGCTGTGAGCAATCCAGTTAACTCCCCTCGGTAAACTGTCCCTGGAGGCGCGCCGTGCGCTCTGGAGCTCTCTCAGTGGCAGAGGGAGAGGCACCTGTAGCGTCTGCGCTTCATCTGGATCCTTATTCGCCGCAAGGGACACAAGAGTTTCCTTTTGTTTCTTAATGAATGTAAGATGTCGGCAGATAGGGCAAACAATAGTGCCTTTGATGTTTCCTTCGTTGTTGATGCTGACCAGCGTTTTGACCAGACAGTCGTGGCAGAATACATGTCCGCAGCTCAGAGTCCTCTCCGTGCCCGACAGACCCTCATAGCACACCGGACACTCTCGTGCGTCCTCCTGGCTATCTTCGTTGTAAAATGCCATGGAAGGAAAAATAAATTGCCTACTGCAACAAGTGTTGGGAAATGGTTTAGGCTCAAATTCCTTGGTAAAAATGGTGTCAATTCCTCTTCAAGTTCTTCTCTCTCAGCGCATGACTTTCTTTACTTTTGAATGTGGGTGGAGGCGAAAGCTGCGCCTTGTAAAACAGGGCCTGCCACCTGCGGCTGATGTGACAAGACTGATTGGGTTCCCTGGAGGCATTATGGGCAGTTCAAGCGGCCAAGCTGGTTCATATTTCATGTTCTTTACATGGCGCTATGTGATCAATTGCGTTCTTTAAATATTAGCAAAATAGCACACCTGACTAATTAGCGATAGGCCTGTTTTATATTTAATATAGGCCTATTATTATTATTAGGTTGCAGCTTATATGAAGTAGTGATGACAAAGCATTGAAAAGCCCTTCACTGGTGTTCATGCTACCTACATTTAAAATGCAGGTTTGTTCAAATTAATTAATAATAATTGTATTTGTTAGAGTGTGTGTGAGTGTTGAACAATTAGGTGAGTAAGGGAATTTGATAATAAGCTCATATTTTCCAAACTTTATATTAAAGGAGCATCCTTAGAAAATGTATTGAATTTTTTTTTAAATGGCCCAGACTTATAAGGGAAACACATTTATAGAAATATATACCATCTGTGATATAAAACTATGGCTTGATTGTTTCACACAGACTACATCCACAAAAATTACTGTAGAGTTGAGTCACAAAAGTCAACACAATTTGAACACAAAGTGGGAATACTCTGTTTTATCATGGTATATGGTGTCTTTTTTATTTTGTATACTTCCTGACAAAGACTTTTGGAGATGCGGTGCTGTTCCTCTGAGTCATGTATCACAGCTGGATGGGTACCAAACTTCATAGAGGAGCAGTCATAACACAACAGCACATAACACTGTGTGTTAATCGAACCATAGCCAGGTGAGCTGAAACTTGCAAACAAGTAGGCTACACTTATATTTTGTTGTGGCCTTTTCAGCCTGTTTTGTAAGACTAATAAGGATCATCTGAATGCAATCACCTGACATCTCTTGAGTATGCAGAGCCGGCCCTAGACCTTCAGGGGCCCGAATCAAAATTTAGTTAGAGGCCCCTCTGACTGTCGGGCATTGTCACTATATATGACACAGAAACAACGTCTCTTGTTTTTAAATAAGACCCGACGAATTCTTAAACCTGCCATGTTTGTTTAGCACAAAAACACAAAAGAACATTTCTTAAACCTGTTTGACAATAAAGCTGATTCTGATGAAAAACAATAACTCTGTATTATTATATCTACTATGTTTGATGTCAAACAGGAAACATATGATACCACCAGTGCTACTGAGCTTAATGGCAGTTCAAGAGCCAGTAGACACTGATGAATTTAGTTCTGAATAAAAAGAATGATAAAGTGATTATGACCAAAGCTTAAATCTTTATTAACAGCCAGACAAGAGATTAAGAGACAAAAACTACAAAAAAGTTGATAGCATCAGTTTTCTCAACCACCTTCTTTATGAGTGATCTAAACATGTAAAGATAGAAAAGACTTTTACTGTCTGGGTGTCTTTTTGGAAAAGTCAAAATGTCTCTGTCAACCTGTGTCGGTTTTACAGCTCACCACATCAACCTATAACTGGTCATTAAGGACAGATGTCCAGTCAGCTGGATCCACTGGAGGAGTAGAAACTGGAAAGCCAGGTGTGATGGTAAGCACGATGGTACTGCTCTCCACTTCAACGGGCACAGGTAGACCTATGAGGAGATTAACACGGACAATAAGTAATTTTAGTAAGTTGACATAACTGTTTAGATATTGTTGATGTAGGCCTAAACTTACCTGTCAGCTTCTTGGAGCAATGTTGGAGGCTGATGGACCCGCTATGAAATAATAAAAATATATAAATAAATTGACTGAACTGAAATGACTGACTTGTGTTATTAGATGTGGAGGATCTTATAATTCAAGACAATCTGCCAGAGTTTGATGCTGTCTCCTTTTAAAAAGTGATGTCTTTTCAACACTAGCTGCTTTGGAGATTAATGTTAGATTGATAAACTAAAGGATAATGGCTTAAATTGAAGAAGATCCATGTCCTAATAACACTATTAACCTAATCAACTGCCTTTAATAATACAAGTTAATCCTATAGTATGGTATAATATTAATACTATACTATGTTTATGCAGTTGCACAAAAATTGTGATGCTAATCTCGGTTAGCATGTTAGCAAGCTACAGTGTTAGCATTGTTAATACCAGCGCGGCTAACTAAGACTAATGTAAGACCTTTAGAGCAGATTATCTAAAAACACAGGCCTAGAAAAACGGACCCTGTGGGCTTACATACCTTTATCCTATTGCCTCCTCTCTTCTGTTGTCTTTTTACATGTCCAGACAATTATGATCTTCTCTTGTCAGACATCAAGCCTGGCCGACCCAGCGTAACGAGTGATGTCACAGGGTCACAGGTCACAGCTGATTTTCCAAAGTATATGACTAAATTAAATAACCAATATGCTTATTATGGTACGTAATATAAAGAGCTATCTTTCATTTTATTTATTTATTATTTTAAGTTTCTTTTTTCAGTGTTTTTTTTTCCACCACTAGCAAGCAGTGACTGTATGGGGCCCTCTGCTGGCCACGGGGCCCTCTGCTGGCCACGGGGCCCTATGCCACCGCAATGGTCGATTAGTGGCTGGGCCGGTGTTATGCCGAGTTTTGCCTGCCTGCCGAGAATTGCATGCGCCTCCAAATAATGATTTTAATTTTAATATTCTTTGTGGGCTTCATCAATGGTGATAAATGATTCGAAGTATATATTTTATGAACGTTTCGAGTCTTTAATATTTTAATACACTTGGTAGAAGTACCATTCCTTGAGATTCAGTAAATAAATGTGGTGATAATGCTGTTTGATCAATGAGCACAGCAAAGTGTCTGAGAAGGACCCAAAGAGGTTGATGCATAATTTGGCAGATCAAATTTTGTGGCTACCTGCCGAGATTTGCATCCGCCTCTTTTCTCAGCATAAATGACCCATGAGGTGGATGCATTTCTCGGCAGGCAGGCAGGCAGAATTCGCCACAAGTGTTTCTTGTTTCCTAGCAAAAGTTATAGTGGGATCCAAAATACAAACTGGGTTCCAGAGAATGTCTTGTACCCTAGAGCTTAAACTGTTCATTAAGCCTTACAAAGAAGTGTTGCATCAAAGAGTGTACTGTAACTTGAGCTAAAGTTAACAGGAATGGGGTTTTTTGTATAATGTAATTTAATAAAACTACTTTATTACTACTAAGTTATTGAAAATATCCTGTTACTGAAACAAATAACTGTAAGTTACTGAAACATACTAAAACATTACATTATATACTAAACAAGACATTTTGAAAGCTTGAACATTGCCTTTGTCTCTTTTGTCCCGGATTGATTGTGCCCCTCTGACAAAACAACTGGCCCCAGCCTGGCCCCCTCAATAAAATTGGTCTAGAACCGCCTTTGGAAAGGATATAGGCTAACAGAGAAACAAGGCACAAAGTATTTGAATTAATAAACTAACAGTTACAATCAAGGCAATTATATCTATTCAGAAATATTTTATTGTCTTGATGTTCTCTTTCCCTGTGTAGTGATTTATTCTCTGGCAATCATATGCCACCTTGTGGTCACTGTAGTAATAACGGTGTGGCTGCAAATCCACAGTCCAAAATCGTTTTTTAAAAAAGAGGTGCGTGATTCTAGCACATCTATTTCTATGGCAGCCCTGCCCAGTCGTGACGTAAATAACGTCATCACGTACGTCTATGTCAGGATTTACGTCGGTTCCGGGAGACGCGTTGGCAATTTCCTAAACACAGCTCAGTCACTATAGTACCATCCGAGGCCAGGGCAGGGGAGAGAGGTGTGTGTTGGATGTAACACCGGCTAGAAGGTGACCCGCTGAAACAGAAGACTGTTGGACAACGATTTGACATGAGCAGGTACCAACTTTAAGAGTGAAAATGTTCCGTTTTGACGTGTTTACTGTTGGACCTGTTTGTGTTGAGCTGTCGTATTTAGCCAGCGGCGTCTGTGTGAATACGGAGATGACAGTCGAGCTCGGTTTAAATGTTGAGAAGACTCTGCTTTGATTTTTTGCTTTACATACCATGTATTTTTTGTATGTGGTATTTTCTTGTTTTCGTGTAACGCGTGCTGTTTTGGCATTATCCTAAGCTTCTGTATTCTGTCTGTCTAACCACGCAGTATCAGATTTCCACACATTGACAGCAGCGTTTGTTAGCTAACGTTATCTGAATTACAACCTGCCGCAGTTCAGACAAATCTGGCCTGATAAATGTCACTCTGTTCTTTTTTGCTTACTGTTTATGATTGTTGCAAAATATGTGCACACTGGCTATAAAATCACAGTTAACCTATTTGTGGTGCATCTACATAGTCATTTTTATAGAAAAACCCCCTTCCATAACACAAGGGACCAAAATATAGGCCCAGGTCAGGGGAACACTGACACCACACCCTGTGATCTGATTATTATTAAAATAAGAGCAAACCAATAGGACTATAAGAGGTATTTTCACCCCTCTCAATGGCCCCACTATAAAAATGTGACTACATCAGCACTTGAGCTCTTAGTAAGCACCTAGTCATCTGCAACAAATGAGGATGTAGAGACCGGAATCAGGGAAAGGAAACTCTTCACGACCTTCCCCTGTCTGTAACTTCCAGATGGCTCCACACCAAGTGGAGGGTCACCATCACCATCTTTGCTGGCTACAGGCCTGGCCTGTCCAGGTATTGTTTCAGCAGACAAATAGATAAAGGGGTCAAGCTGACACCGCTCCAAAGGATGCTGAAATGAAAGATAACAGGAGCTAGTTTTTTCTTTCTGGCAGTCACAGTGCTCAACATGATGTAACTTAACCTTTTCATCTCATTTTAAGTGATGTATTATGTTACCAGTACAGAGCCAGTCTGTCCTCATCTGGCCTAAATATGTGAAATGGCTTTAGTATCTCTATTGCCCCATTTGAGCATCCTGTCATTGGTCAGTGGGCTGAGATATAGCCATGTGATTATCCTGATAAGGCCTTTGATCTGAATCACTATGGAAACTGTTTCCTGTCACTCATGCCTTGTGGAGACCCACACTGATCAATATAAAGCACTGGATCCCATTCAGCCCATTCAGCATCACAACAAGTAGAGATCTGCTGTTTGTTAGACTACCTTGAAATTCTGTTCTCTGTATATAATCAGAGAAAATAGTTTGGGTTGTTCCCTGGAGGGATTTGAAGGCTCTATATGACACAACTAACATGTTACGTCTGTAGCAGCCGGGGAACATTTCACTCTCTCCACCCTTAAAGTATTTTGGTCTCCAGTTTCCTTTGTGGTTTCCAAAGTAGTGTACTGACACGTGAGGGACCAGTAGCAAGAAAATTGTTTATGACGCCATCTCTGAGGAATGTTGAAAGGGAAGAGCAGGCGGTCTGGCCTCTGAGTCTAGACCATCTTCTCCTTGGCAAGGAAGACAACACATCCTCCTCCTAGTCTCGCCAAAATATAATAATAATCGCTACAGTAACATATACCACTTTCTTATATAACCACTTTGTGCACAGACAGTTTTAACACTAATCAAACCAAATTCCTCAAGCCTTATAAATAACTGCCTAAAAGCGTTATCTGCTTGACCTTCAGTCCGGCTGAATGGGTTCCGGTGCTACATCCACTGGTTGTCTGACCTATCTGCAGGAAATCCTGATAATCTCTGTTTGGATCCTGGAGCTACAGCAATTGGAAGGGCATGTGTGCAGCAGCTGTATTTCCCACACACAGAACACACCGCAGCGGCTCTTTCCAGATGTGTTCGACAATTTCCTGAAACCTGCCTCATAGATCGCAGAGTGAGGCAGAGTTTATTAGCTCACCAGAAAAGAGGAAAAGCCGTCTAGTAAAGTGTTATTTCCGCAAGCAGGACGGAAGATAAAAAGCTCTTGGTCAAAACTTCAGAACTAGGCCACAACCGACAGCTTTGATCTGTTTGGCATTAACCACACTTGATAAAGATTACACACATTTACCGGGCACCGGACATCATTCAGGCTATTCAGTCATAAAAAGTCTTGCCATGTTGGCCACCAAGCTTGTAAAAGACTGGGTGATGTAGCTAGTGATTCATGAGTAACTACGGATGACATGACCTCAGAGCGTAGGGTGACACGGCCCTGTTTGTCCCTTTCCAGTAACGACAGGCCTGTTCTGTTATCTTCTCATCTCCAGTGAGAAATGAGGGAAGTTTTTCATCTCGATTTGCCTGGTTGGTTAGCTCTAAGATAAGATGGGAATGCACCATGCCAGATTCTACATGCCAAAGGATGCAAATAGTGAAAATGTTGTACCATGTTTGAGTACATTTTGTGTGTGTGTGTTTTTTTTGTTGTTTGTTTGTTTTTTACTTTTCAGTGGTGGTCCTAACCTCAGGAGCACAAGCCTTGCATTGTTTTCAAATGTCCTTTTAAGTTATTGAAATCAGCTGTGAGGCTAATAAATATATGTCTCCTTAATTCCCAGGGTGCCCTGATATGGACAAAGAGATGATTCCCAAATTTTCGTCAAAGGATGAGGAAGTTGATTACTGGAAGTCCCAAGCTCTCAAATATAAGAAAAGGTAGGCATTGTGATTTACTTCTCACATGTACTGACCAGTATGTAACCCTTTTATCCATGTTTAACATCTTGTTATGACCAGTCATGACATACCATGTTCATGTGGCAATAGGACAGATGTTCTTTTACTGTTTGCCTACTAAGCTCACTCTTGCAAATTGGGTTATGTAACCATGTCATGTTTTATTTTGTGATCTGTGTTGTGGCAATCCCCCATTTGAAATAAACACTCATAAAAACACTCAAAACTCCAAACAGCAGGAAGCCGTGATGTTTAAAAAGTTGTAGTGGTGTAGTCTTACATAATAGGCAGATGCTTATTTGCTGAAGATGTGGTTTTGTCTGTAGTTATGAAAGATGTGATCACATAATAATTACGTCTTTATCTTGAACCGAATGTTTTGTGGACGCGTCTCTATATAAAAGTTTCAGCACAGAAACCCTGTGTGTAGCCATATAAGGCAAATGACCAGACAAGCGTTTTGAAATCACGGCCCACAAACAGCTGTGGCTCGCTCGGTAGGAAATGACTACATCTGAGACTTCTTTAAAAGACACCACAGCCTACGTTGGGATAGGCAGCAAATCTTTG